AGCGCCCCTGTTTTTTTTCAAGCCGCTGGATCCAGTCTCCCCCGGCAGGACGGAGGCCGCAGGCAGCGCGGGACCACGCTCCCGGTGACAGCCCCAGCCCGAGGGGGGTCGTTCCCACCGGCACCACCATCCCTCCTCTCCCCCCCAGCGCCGGGGAGCTGTTCCTGCCTGCCTCTGCCTGCGCTCGCCGCTTTCCCAAGCGCTGGCGGGGAACAGCACCGCTGCCCCCGGTGCGAGCAGAAACCGGGGAGACTCAGCAGCCTGGGACTGCCAATAAAGCCCAATTATCCCAATTTAAAGTGAAGATGCAAATTTCAGAGGTTGGATCCTGCTGGCGCAGCCTTACGCATCCCCTCCGACAAGCGTGCTCTCCTTCATGGCTCCTCTGGTTCTGGTTAATCTGGGTGATGTTCTTTGAGCTGTAAATTGAGGGGGTTTGCCAAAAAAAGAAAAAAAAAAAAAAAGAGGCACAGGGCCAAGGGGGGGGAGGGCAGGGGATCAGCTCAGCCCGGCAGCTCCGTGAAGCGACCGACAACCCACTGGGTTACCCCCACTGCGGGGGTCTCCGAGCCAGGAGAGAGCAAGGGGAAAAGGGGAGGCTGAAAGAGGAGGGTTAGGGGCATCCCACTGGAAAATGGGGAATAAAAAATTATCTGAATTTGGGCACAGGTTTCTCACCCCAGCCTCTCTGCGTACCGTGTGCCGCAGGACCAGCAGCACCAGCTCAGGGAGGACATCACTTGCCTTCCCAAACTTGCCTCGGCCCTGAAGGGACGCGGGGGTTCCCGCTGAAGCCACCGGCACATGGAGCACAGCAGCCGTGAGTTCCCCCGGACCCTCCTGGCTCCTTGGCATGGCCCTGGGGCTGCCCACGGCATCTCGCCCCAGGCAGGATTTTGGGCCAAAAGGAGCATTTCCCCAAAAACTAGAGACAAGCAGCGGGAGCTGGGAGAGCTGGGAGTCAGAGGCACGGAGCCGGGAGTCGCAGAGCTGCACAGCTCGCAGCAGAAATCCCAGATCTCTGCCGCTGGAGACCTCAGAGCTTGCCAGAAACGAAACGAGGCTTTAACTCCCCAAAACTGTGCATGGGCGCGTGCTAAAACCCTACAAAACACCCTTTCCCCTCCTCTGCCTGCGCTTCCCTGCTGTCCTGGCAGCCTCGGGGGTCCTCCGCCACCCCGCCC